GATAAAATCGCTCAGATTCGGGACAGCCTGAACTCCGACTGGGTAGCTTCGGACGGGATGATGGGGGTGACTCTTGAGAGTGTTATCTGGGAGGAGTTTGACCCTGTGGCTCCTGAGGACGTGGACAGGATTTTGGGGAGGCTCAACGCTACCATGTTTATTGGATCCGTGTCCTTCCTGGTTGGTGCTGACCTCCCAGGAGGTTACACAAGGTTGGTTTCAGGAGATTATTAACGCTTAGTTGAGTGAGGGTGTCTTCCCATCCACCTTGAAAGAGGTGGTGGTGAGGCCCCTCCTCAAGAAGCCTTCCCTGGACCCGGCTGTATTAGCTAATTACCGTCCTGTCTCCAACCTCCGCTTCACGGCGAAGGTTGTTGAGAGTGTGGTGGCGCGACAAGTTCCTTGATTCCTGGATGAAGCTGTCTATCTAGATCCGTGCCAGTCGGACTTCAGGATGGGCTACAGCATGGAAACGGCATTGATCGCATTGGTTGATGATCTCTGGAGGGCTCGGGACAGGGGTTGTTCCTCTGTCCTGGTCCTCCTGGACCTCTCAGTGGCTTTTGATACCATCGATCATGGTATCATGCTGCATCAGCTGGAGGGGATGGGAGTAGGGGGCACCGTGTTGCGGTGGTTCTCCTCCTTTCTCTCTGACCGTACGCAGTCTGTGTTGACGGGGGGACAGAGGTCGACCTTGAGGCCCCTCACTTGTGGGGTGCCGCAAGGGTCAGTCCTCTCGCCCCTCCTGTTCAACATTTATGTGAAGCCGCTGGGTGAGATCATCCGTGGCTTTGGAGCAAAGTGTCAACTGTATGCCGATGACACGCAGTTGTACATTTCAACCCCAGGCCACCTCAATGATGCCCTTGATGTGATGTCCCATTGCCTGGAGGCCGTGCGAATCTGGATGGGGAGGAACAGGCTCAGACTCAACCGCTCCAAGACTGAGTGGCTGTGGTTTCCGACGTCCCGATATAGCCAGCTAGAACCATCACTGGCTATTGGGGATGAGATCTTACCCCACTCAGAGAGGGCTCGCAACTTGGGCGTCCTCCTGGACTCATGGCTGTCGTTGGATGATCATATGACGGCTGTAGCCAGGGGGGCTTTTTATCAAGTTCGCCTGATCTCCCAGTTGCATCCCTTTCTGGATTGGGATGCCTTGCACACAGTCACCCACGCCCTCGTCACTTCCCATCTGGACTATTGCAATGCTCTCTACATATGGCTCCCCTTGAGAAGCACCCGTAGGCTCCAACTGGTCCAGAATGCGGCCTTGCAAGTGATAATTGGGGCGATTCGTCGCTCCCATGTAACACCTCTCTTGCGCGAGCTGCACTGGCTCCTGGTGGTCTTCTGGGTGCGTTTCAAGGTGTTGGTTACTACCTTTAAAGTGCTCCATGGTTTAGGGCCTGGATATTTACAGGACCATCTGCTGGCACTGACTGCCTCCCACTGACCGATATGCTTCCACAGAGAGGGCCTCCTTAGAGTGCCGTCAGCCAAACAATGTCGACTGGCGACTCCCAGGGGGAGAGCCTTCTCTGTGGGGGCTCCTGCCCTATGGAACGAATTGCTCCTGGATATACGAAGGATCCACGACCTCTGTGCCTTCTGTTGTGTGCTGAAGACCCTGTTATTCCAGCAAGCTGGTCTGATGGGACAATAATTTTAATCGGGTTTTAAATATGGGTTTTTAACATGGTTTTATAAGGGTTGTAGAATGGGAATTTTAAATTCGGCCAAAAATTGAATTATTTTAATATGGTTTTTAAATTTGTCTTGTATATTGTTTTATTATGGCTGTTCACTGCCCTGAGTCCTTTGGGAGAAGGGCGGTATAAAAATATAATAAAATCAAAATCAAATCAAATCAAATCAATCTAGTTTGGCAACAATGGTACAACTGGCTAGACAAAAGGAAAACGAAATAAGAAAAAATCAAAGGTACAGGAAAGGAATACCAACTAAGGAAACAAAAATTAAGAAATAATCTTAAAATATCATTATATAATGAAGAATGTATATATATATATATAGAAATATAAAATACTGAAGTAAATTTCTTTTAGGCTCAAGTTGTAAGACTTGATTTTAATGTATAGTTTGTCTATGTTGTGTATTGTATGTATGTATGTTTTTGTTTGTTTATCTTTAATAAAAGAAAAAAGAAGAGAAGAGAAGTTGCCTGTTTCTAATATAACAAACGTAATGACTATTAGACTAATTGCCCTACCTCTAAAGGGATGGAATTCTACTCCTACAGTGAAAAAATGGTTAAGGGTAAATCACACAGCTGATGATGCTCAAGTAAAAGTGAGGAAAATTGCAAGTGAGGATGCCAATCAAAAAGCAATATGGAAATACCTTACATAACACTTTTATTAGTTTTTGTCATGTAATATACATTAATATTTTAAAACTCATAACAGAATCTAGTTTTGTGACCTCTTTTATTGTTCTTATTTAAGTATTAAATGCATGAAATAAGGTGAGGCGAGGAGGGGAGGAGAGGGGATGGGCGAGAAGAGGCCAGGCGAGGCGCTCCTCGATATGAGTGATATCAAGTTGGCCATGCCCACCCAATCACATGACCACCCAGTCACATGACCACTCAGTCACATAAACCCAACCACACCTACCCAGCCGGTCATTAGGGCAGAAAACCAGTTGTTAAATTATTTGAATCCCACCACTGGTGTTAATCCCTGGAGACCGTCTGAGAAATGATTTGCCATTGTGTCCTTCCTATGGCTGCGGGAGGATGACTGGCCCAAGATCACTCAGCTGGCTTTGTGCCTTAGGCAGGACTAGAGCTCGCAGTCTCTTGGATTCTAGTCTGTTGCCATAGGCACCTCACTGCACTGGGTCTCTTTCCATATGCTATGTGCAATTCCCTTATTAGGGAGATCCTTGAGCTGTCCTGTGAAATAGTGAGGAGATTTTATTCTTTGCTTTAAATTCGTGATGGCGAACATATGGCATGCATGCTGGCCAGCTGGTCTTCACGCGGGTGGGAGTGGTGGAAACCAGAAGAGCAGCTGCAAAGACCAGCTAGATGGCACTCATGTGCATGCCAGAACCTAGAAGATCAGCTGGCTGGTGTGTGCATGCGCACTCGGCAGCTGCTCTTCCTGTTTCTGGTGCTCCCACACATGCAAACACCAGCTGGCTGGCACACGTGTGCGCGTTGGAACCTGGAAAAGCAACTGCTCTTCCGGTTTCCAGCATGCATGCACGTGCACATGCGCACGCATTCTGGTTTCAGCACGGTGCCAAAAAGGTTCGCCAACACTGCTTTAAATGGAATTGCAAGGGGCTTTGGGAGGGGAAGGGGTAAGCAGAGTCAACAAAAAGGAAATCTATGGTAAATTGGTCTCAGAATCAATAGAATCATTTCCCATCTTTTTCTCATTCATGATAATCCAACTACATAATTTCTTTTTTGAAATTACACCTGAATCCCAATTTGATTTTGAAAAGCTAGTTGGGGGTGACTTTCTCATACTTTCAATCATCTAGCTTAGTAGAGTTTGGCAATCCTTAGTATTGCCTGTGTGATGGGCAAAAATTCAGCACTTGTCTTCCCATCAGCAGTGTAAAGAAACGTGTGGCAGAGATTGTAGTTTATTCTCACCATCGATATTGGGTTGTTGTTTTGCTTTATAAATCAAATACACTTTCACTGCACATTCTGTATTTTTGTCTGGCAGGTATCTTTTAAAAGCATCAGAATTTCTCTGAAAGGAGAAAAATTGTTAAACCCAAACTTTACTTTAGAAAGCAAGAACTACTATTAATCTTCTCGTTCCCACCACCCATCTCCTTCCACTTATGACAGTATGACTGTAACTTTGTTGCTTGTTTCCTTACGATTTATATTGATATTGTTTCCTGATTGCTTATTTGTACCCTATGACTATCATTAAGTGTTGTACCTTAGTTTCTTGATGAACGTATCTTTTCTTTTTATGTACACTGAGAGGATATGCAGCAAGACAAATTCCTTGTGTGTCCAATCACGCTTGGCCAATAACAAATTCTGTTCTGTTCTGTTCTATGAATGTCATCCTAATTATTTTTTGACCTGGAAGCCTGTAATAATGAAGAAGGGACGATACTGCATTTTGACTAAGTAGATACTTAACAAGTAGAGTGATGCTCTCCTAATTAGAATGGGATGTTAAGTCCTTTTGATTTGCGCATTCAGTTCAGTTTATCTCTGTAAAATGTGACCGAGAAATCCAGGACAGGATCATAGCTTTGATGGGGGAGCCTAGTATACTTGCGCTGCCTGAATATCATCAAAGGGACATATTCCAAATGGATCTTATGGTAGCGAGGAACGGGCTGATTTCCTGCTATAATTTGCCTTCTTAAAAAAGGCAGAGCTGGTCAGTGCAAGTCCCACCTTAGTACGGGACAGGCGTCCGCCTGCGAAAAGTGGCGACCGGGCGGGATCACAATGGCATTTCCGCCCCGCCCCGCCCCTCATTCCTTAGCAATAGATCCTGGAAGCAGACAGGCCGCTTCGATGCCGAAGGTAAATGGGCGCATTTGATAACGGATGGTGAATGTGCCTAACCATGAAGTTTAGTCGGCGTCGCTACCTTTAGCGGTATTTGTTGTGCACAGTTCAGAGTAGTCCGTAATTCCTCCTATTCCCTGTATGAAATAGTATTTGTGTGTGTGTGTGTGTTTGTTCGACCGGTCTAAAAAAAAGGAGGAGGCAAAAGCGTGTTACTACTAGTAGTAGTTGGAGTAATCTCGTTGGTTCACTTCCTCCGCTTGAAGCTGCCGTTCTCAATCTCAGAGCGGGAGAGAAGCAGCTACTGAAACGGAGGCCTAGTTCACTCTAAGCGTTCCCCACTTTTGAAGCTCCAAGTGGCACGATGACGTAAGAGGCGCGCTTGCGCTGAACGAGGCCGCTGCTGCAGCTCACTTCCGGGTTTCCCCGTCGAGGTTCGTCGGGGTCGCGCGCGGAGCTGGTGAGGTCCCTCCCCCCCGTCTTTCCCGCCAAGCCCCGCCCCCTGGTGGGGGGAAAGGAGTCGATAGGGAGACTGTTGGGGGAAGAAGGCGAAGTGGCGTTGAGGGGGCGCAAGCGGGGAAAGGTTTGGGGGGGGGGAAGGTGAGGGAAAGGCGGTTAAAAGGTAGGTGGTGGGAAGGAAACGTTGCTGGGGTCAAGGTGGTTCTTCCCTCTGTCCCGAGATACAGGGGAAGTTCGGGAGGGGGGGGGGAAGAGATCACAGTCGGGATAGCGCTCTGCTAGTTCCTGCTCAGCCTGGTGCCCGGCAGTTGTGGTGACAGGAGAGAGAAATACTCGTTGCCTTGATTTGCCCCGATGACGACCGGCAGCTTTTCTTAGAGACGTTCCAGGAATCTTCCCTGCCTTCTCCTTAGTCCCGCTTCGCTAAGTGGAATCAGTTCATCCTCTTGAACCATTGACAAGGTCTGTGAAATTAGTGGGTGTTTTTTTTTTTTTTTTTTAAATTCAGGAGGATTTGTCTTCTTTCTCTCTTTCCTTCTTCAGCTTTCATAACGATATTGCTACTGAAAAAAACCACCAATAAATCAGCGTTGTCTTCATTTTTGTTCCTTAAGGTCTTGTCTATGTTTATGGTTGTGTGCTTCACTAGAATTAATTTTCTATTTATTTTCCTTGCATGTGTCCAGGTTTATCTATTTTTGAGCTCAAAAGAATGAATAAAAGAATAATGAATAAAAACTTTATTAAAGTCATCGACCAGCAATAGACATACAATAAATTAAAAATAATACTGACATTAATCATGAATAATAACATACCTGTTATGAAAATACATAATCTCAAACCATTAGGAGCTCAGAAGAAATTATCTAACATATTGATTTTTTCAACATCAACTGCAAGTTCATTAAGTAAGTAGGTTTTTATTGGTTTCATAACCAATAAAGACTGGGTGCCTCCACATGTTTGCTGGATCCGTGTCCCTCCTGTCTTGTTTCGGCTGCCTGGGAGGTGACTGGAGACTGGATCCAGGCAATTATCAACTCTTCTTTGAAGGAGGGGGTCTTCCCCACCTCGCTTAAGAGGCGGTGATTCAACCCCTCCTCAAGAAGCCCGCCCTGGATCCAGACTCACTTAACAACTTTCGGCCTGTCTCCAACCTTCGCTTTATTGCGAAGGTTGTTGAGACCGTGGTGGCACAACAGCTCCCACAGTTCCTGGAGGAAACGGAGTATCTAGACCCATACCAATCGGGTTTCCGGTGCGGGCACAGCACAGAAACGGCATTGATCACCCTGATGAATGATCTCTGGCGGGCCCGGGATGGAAGTTGCTCCTCCATCCTGGTCCTACTTGACCTCTCAGCGGCCTTTGATACCATCGACCATGGTATCCTACTGCAGCGACTTGGGGGGTTGGGGGTAGGAGGCACTGTTTTACAGTGGTTCTCCTATCTCTCAGGTCGCTCACAGTTTGGGCGGGGGGGACAGAGGTCCACCCCGAGACCCCTAACTTGGGTGCCTAGGGTCGGTTCTCTCCCCCCTACTCTTTAACATCTATATGAAGCCGCTGGGTGAGATCATTCGTGGCTTCAGGATGAGGTATCATCAATATTCTGATGATACTCAATTATATATCTCCACCCTGGACCACCCCAGGGATGCCCTTTCCGTGATGTCCCGATGCCTGGAGGCAGTGTGGGCCTGGATGGGCAGGAACAGACTCAGACTCAATCCTTCCAAGACTGAGTGGCTGTGGATGCCGGCATCCTGTGTTCTAGAGGTCCTGTCACTTTTGATGGGGCGGAGGTACTTGCAACTTGGGTGTCCTCCTGGATTCCCAGCTGTCCCTAGAAGACCATTTGACAGCCGTGACCAGGGGGGCTTTCATACAGGTGCACCTGGTGCGCCAGTTGTGCCCTTTTCTAGACCGTGATACCCTTTGCACGGTCACTCATGCCCTGGTTACCTCCCGCTTGGATTACTGCAACTCTGTCTATATGGGGCTGCCTTGAGGTGCACCCAGAGGCTCCAGCTGGTCCAGAATGCGGCCGCGCGGGTTGTTACGGGAGCTCCTCATTACTCCCATGTAACATCTCTCCTGTGCGAGCTGCACTGGCTACCGATGGTCCTCCGGATCCGCTTCAAGGTGCTGGTATTGACCTATTAAGCCCTACATGGCTTAGATCCGGGGTATTTGCAGGACCATCTCCTGCCTGCTTCCCACCGTCCTGTCTGCTCCCATAGGGCTGCTCTCCTCAGGGTACCATCAGCCAGGCAATGCCGTCTGGCGACGCCCAGAGGTAGGGCATCCTCCGTGGGCGCCCCTACCCTCTGGAACGAACTACCCACCGAGCTCCGGACAGCCCCGGATCTCCGCTCCTTCCGTCGAGGCCTGAAGACTTGGTTATTTCAACAAATGGGCTGATTCTGATCCTTGGGTTTTTATTATTTATTATCTTAATCTGGTTTTAGTGGGCTTTTATTATTGTATGTTTTTAATCTGTTCGCAACCCTGAGTCCTTCGGGACAAGGGCAGCATATAAATTCTGTAAAATAAATAAATATTAGATGTTTCACATTCCATCTTTATTTTATAATATCTTTTAATTCTTCTTTAAATTAATAAAGTGCTGTTGTCTGCATATCTCAAAATATTTCAACCCATGTTTTGATTGTGTCATCTCTTGCATTCATATAATATATTCATATAACATTCATATAATATATTCACTGTGTAAATATGAAGATAATATGATTCTTGTTCTCTATCTTTTTTTTTTTTTTTTTAATTTATATACAGCCCTTCTCCCTGAGGACTCAGGGCGGTGTACAGCCAGAATTAAAAAACATGAAATACAAATATTAAAAAACAATTAAAATATATATAAATTTGGCCCAAAATTAAAAATACAAACCAATTAAAACATTTAAAATTTCTTCTTAAGCCAACCCGGCTTGCTGGAAAAAGTGGGTTTTAAGGGCACGGCGGAAGGCACTAAGATCTTGGATTCTCCTTATCTCTGGAGGCAACTGATTCCAGAGGGTAGGTGCCCCCACAGAGAAGGCCCTCCCCCTGGGGGTCACCAGCCTACATTGATTGGCTGATGGCACCCTGAAGAGGCCCTCTCTGTGGGAGCGCACGGGACGATGGGAGGTCGTCTGTATCAGCAGGCGGTCTCGAAGATAGCTAGGCCCAATGCCATGGAGCGCTTTAAAGGTGATAACCAGCACCTTGAAGCGCACCCAGAAAACCACTGGGAGCCAGTGCAGCTCGCGCAGGAGCGGTGTTACATGGGAGCGCCATGCTGCTCCCGTCACTACCCGCGCTGCTGCATTCTGGACCAGTTGGAGCCTCCGGGTGCTCTTCAAGGGGAGCCCCATGTAGAGAGCGTTGCAGTAGTCAAGGCGAGAGGTGATGAGGGCATGAGTGACTGTGCACAGGGAATCCCGATCAAGAAAGGGCCGCAACTGGCGAATCAGGCGAACCTGACAAAAGGTCCCCCTGGTTACAGCTGTCAGATGTTCCTCCAAGGACAGCTGCATATCCAGGAGGACTCCCAGATTGCGAGCCCTTTCTGTGGGGGCCAAAGACTCGCCCCCAATAGTCAGTGATGGAGTCAACTGACTATATCGGGATGCCGGGAGCCACAGCCACTCAGTCTTGGAAGGGTTGAGCCTGAGCCTGTTCCTCCCCATCCAGATCCGCACAGCCTCCAGGCACTGGGACATCACTTCAAGGGCATCATTGGGGTGGCCTGGGGTGGAGATGTACAGCTGGGTGTCATCAGCGTACTGGTGGTATCTCACCCCGAAGCCACGGATGATCTCGCCCAGCGGCTTTACATAAATGTTGAACAGAAGGGGCAAGAGGACCGATCCCTGCAGCACTCCACAGATGAGAGGCCTCGAGGTCGACCTCTGCCCCCCTGCCAACACAAACTGCGACCGGTCGGAGAGAAAGGAGGAGAACCACCGCAACACGGTGCCTCCCACCCCCAACTCTTCCAGCCGGTGCAGCATGATACCATGGTCGATGGTATCAAAAGCCGCTGAGAGATCTAACAGGACCAGAACAGAGAGCAACACCTGTCCCGAGCCCTCCAGAGATCATCAACCAATGCGACCAATGCCGTTTCCGTGCTGTGCCCAGACCTGAAACCTGACTGGAACAGATCTAGATAAGATGTTTCCTCCAGAAATTGTGGGAACTGTCGCGCCATGAAGCGAAGGTTGGAGACAGGATGGTAGTTGGCCAATATTGCCGGATCCAGGGACGGCTTCTTGAGGAGAGGCCTCACCACCGCCTCCTTCAAGGCAGCGGGGAAGTGGCCCTCACTCAGCGAAGCGTTGATAACACCCTGGAGCCAGCCTCGTGTAACCTCCCGGGAAGCCAGTACCAACCAGGAGGGACACGGGTCCAGTAAACATGTGGCCGCACTAAGTCTCCCCAAAATCCTGTCCACATCATCGGGAGTCACAGCGTCAAACTCCTCCCAGATAACATTCTCAAGACTATTCCTCGTCACTCTGCCCTGATCTACCCAGTCAGAGTCCAAATCCCCCCGGGTCTGAGCGATTTTGTCATATGAGCGATTTTGTCATCTTGTTTAACTCTCCAAATTCAGTTTTTACAATAATCTGTTAGCTCATTTAAAAAATCTTTGTTCTAGGCTGCTGTCAACCTCCATATTTTCCACATTGGTATAATTTAAACAAAGCTCTTGGCAAAAACACAATAAATATTTATTTTCTTTCTGTTTACAGAAAAGTAAACTACTGTTATTCAAATACAGTGCTTCTACTCCAGTGAATAATTGTTCATTTCTATGAGTAAGATTAAAACACTCTTTGGGTAGTCTTTTGCTATGAGGGCAATCTTTCTGTCCATTAAATTGGTGAGATCATTGCTGAAAGAGATCCTTCAGAAAAGCATAATGTTTATGTATACAAGTAGTCCTCTATTTACAACCATTTATTTAGTGTGTTTTTGTCTGCTCAAAATTAGAATAGCACTGAAAAAAGTATCATATGACCGTTTTTCATACTTACAACCATTACAGCATCCTTGTCACACAATCAGAATTCAGACGCTTGGTAACTGGCATATATTTGTGACAGTTGCAGCATCCTGGGGTTATACGATCACCTTTTGTGTCAATGGGGAAGCCAGATTCAGTCAACAGCGAGGTTACTAACTTAACAACTGTAGTGATTCACTTAACAGCTGTGGCACAAAAGCTTGTAAAATGGGGCAAGACCATCTAACAACTGTTGCTTAGCAACAGAATTGTAAATCTAGGACTACCTGTTTGATGCCTATTGCAAGTTTGCTGATAAACAATTACCTTCAAGAACACCTCCTACCATTTAACAGTTTCAACAGAAATAGTTCTGTTAGTTCACTCTTCATTCTGGCCAATCATACTTAGTCTACAATCCAGCCATATACAATCCAGCTAACCAACTATGGTTAGTTTAGGGAAGAGTGTCAAATGCAAACTCAGAAAGTAAACTAACAGTAAATCATGATTCAATTAACAATGAATATGCTCATTGTGCAGTATTTCTTTCATGATGGTTAAACATTACAATAAATATAACAATTTGCTCCATTGCATAGTGCCCCTTTTGCAAGCAGAGAAAGCTTCCAGTCTCCCTGTGGGCAAAAAGTGCATGGCAGAGCCAGACAGAGGCAGAGACATGGGAGGGAGGCAGGCAATCCCAATGCACCATCCATTCTGTCCCACCATCTCTCAGCTTGCCCACAGCTACGCCAGGGCAGGCACCCACGCGGGACGTCGGGATTGCCTGCCTTCCCCCCATCTCTGCCTGCTGGCAGTGCTGCCACACAAGCCTCCTGTGAGACAGGCAGCCGCACAGCACGTCCGGATCCCTTGTCTCCCTCTTTCTTGGGGTGGGGGAGGGGGCTCCTTACTCGGACCTATGTGCTGCGCCAAGGGACCAGAAGGCTGTGGCTGCTGCCAGATACTGTTGGCCCTTACAGACTTGCTGCCTCTTGTGCTGGCTACACCCATCTCCGGTCTTATTTTGGGGGGTACAGCTTATATTGGACCCACCAAAAAAAATTGGCTAGGGCTTATTTTGGGGGTGGGTCTTATTTTCAGGAAAATGCAGTAGGTATTTGTGGATGTGTTCTGCCAGTCTTCTGCCTGTTTGTCCTACATGGTGATTGTTGCAGTCCTTACATTGTATATTGTAGATAACTCCTGTTTTTTCTTCGGGTTGTTGTGTCTTTGGGTCTGCTTAGGATGTTTTGAAGGGCTTTAGTTGGCTTGTGCGCTATGCTGATTCCATGTGGTTATAGTAGTCTGTTGGTGATCTGTGAGATACTTTTGATGTATGGCAGTGTAATTCTTTTAAGGCTTTGTGTTGGTTATATTGGATTGAACGGCCAGGCACTTTTTGATAAAGTTGCATGAATATCCATTTTGTTGGAATATGTTGTATGTTGTATGTTGTATGAATATGCTCTATTTTCTTTTTCTGCTGTTCCCAGTTGCTACACTGTGTTTGGGCTCATCAAAATAAAGTCCTTAGGCAGCTTCTCTTGTGGGAAGTTAGGTTGTTGCTTTGGTAGTGGAGCACCTGGTTAGTATGGGTAATTTTTCTGTAGACTTGCATTTCTAGTTTGCCCTTGTGGTCTCTGCTGATCAGGATGTCGAAGAAGAATAGCAAGTTGTTGTTTTCTTCTTCTCTAGTAAACTGTATTCCTTTAAAAGTGTTATTGATGATTCTGTGGGTGTTCTCTAATTGGTCGTTTTTTATTATGGTGAAGGTGTCATCTTCATATCTGATCCATATTTTTGGTTGTATTTCTGGAAGTGCTATGGCTTCTAGATGTTGCATGACAACCTCCGCTATAAATCCTAATGTTACTAGTTTGGGTAATGAAACATCTTCAAGAAAACAAGCAAGTTCAGACAGCACCAAAGACCTCTCAAAAAAGGACCGCAACATTCAATTTATCACTGGGATAATAGGCCTGAAGTTTACCTAGTCAGTTTTCCATACTAGGCAAACAAATTATATTTCTATTTAAATCAAAATATTTCCATATTTCTAACTGAAAATGCATACGTGAATTCATATTTGTGTACATGAATGCATATACATTTTAGGCAAATGAATGAGTTGATGCATTTTCTCTTTGGATGAGCAAGCTGAATAGGAAATAGGGCTTTTCTGTCAGTCTCCTTTGTGTAAAAAGGGAGAGGAACTTTTTGGCATCACTGATCATGTAAATTAAAAGATTTCTTAAATTAGAGCCTTCCTCTCAAGATGGCTCCTGCACAATGAGGGTTTCTTTTTTCTCTTATCAACAATCTGCTGATTTTACTGTCAAAGCTGGTTCTTTGAAAAATAATTTCAAAACGTGCTGTAAAACTGGGCACAAATGTTTCAAAATTTCTTTGTCATGTCTCTGTGCTTGGCAGGAAAGGGACTGTCCAGGAAAATATAAATTGTGTAGACAATTTAATTTGGTAAATAAAATGAATATAGTTGGGGAATGGGGAGGAAAATCATCCTGTATTCTTACAGATACATTTTCATGATACGTTTTCCTCTATTAGATTTAAGAGCCGGAAAATAAAATTTGGAGCATTGTCATTAAATACCAATTTTTCCCATAATGCTGGAAAATCAACCTTTCATCAATTCTGGTGCAAATATATTTTAAGGGAAAAGGGGGGGGTATTCTTAAAAGCCCATCCAGTGAATCAGCCAGGAACAGATTTTAATTTGGATTTGTGAGGTTGCAAAGATGTGGCCACTATGCTACATTATGTTTTTGCTGTCCATGGAAGGAAATCTAGTCTATGCAAATATGAAGAGGTGAAGTTTCTCTCCATCAATAGGAGGTCAGAGTTTGAAAGAAATTCACAGTATGGTTGCTGCGCTCAGCTTTTAAAACTGCAGCGTTCAGAGTTCAGGAAGTCTCGTGGCAAGATCAGCCTCAAGATCAGGGGCTTATTTTCTCCATTCTACCCCTACTCCAGAGGAGCAATGCAGCTTTTGCCCTTGGTCTTCTGAGCGTCTGTGACCCTATTCAGACAACTCACACATCTCAATGAAATACATGGTGTTCGAACATCAATGGTATTAGTTTGTGTTTTGCTTTGGGATGGAAAGGAGTTGTAACATCCTGGGGCTCTAGCTATGGTAAGTGGGCTTCAGAGGAAATGAAATAAAGGGAGGGAAAGAAGGAAGGGAGTTGTAATGTAACAAGAAATTTAACACTTTGCTAAGTATTGTGGGGAATCAAGTTCCCAGGAATTTTGGAGAAGTCGTTGGAAGTATGTTTACACATATCCAAATCTAGTAATGAAATTTGGGGCGGTGAAACAATTTTATTATTAGTTGGGTTTGGGATAAACTATATAGGGTGTGCACATTTGCTTGAGTCACCTGGAACTGTTGCTTCATAAATGTGTTTCTGTGGCTAACTTATGTTCTGCTTATAATGTGGCACCTGCATGTTTTAGGCCAGTTTCTTTTGTTCTTCTTAAGGGAGAGAGGAATTATTACTGACCATTAAAAGCTTTATTAAGAAGAACCAAAAGTTTGTCCAATCAAACTGTCAATAATAAGCCAGGTTTTTTAGTCATTACCGTCATGGAAAATATTTCTTTTTATATTCTTCACAAATAAAGATGCTTCTGTCACAACTCAGCAAATCTAAATCGTAGGGATCACGAGGAAGAAAAATTGCCGGAAGGACAGTTAGAAAGATCTTGCCAACTGTTCTCTCCCCATCCATACTCAAATGTATATTCACTCACCAATATCTACTTTTGGGTAAATAAGTAGGAAAGTGACACATAGCCCAAACTATTTACCAATAATTATGCTTTGCTTATGTGGGGCTCTGATTAAAATTCTACTCTCTGTTTATTTTTCCTCAGGTTATCATGTGATGTCAGTGTGAGACAGAAACAAAGCTAGACATGCATTCCAACCACACAACTAGGAATGGCTGCCGAGCACAGGAAGTTATCCAGGTGAGTACAGATTCTTGAACTGATATCTGGAAAAAAGGCTGTTTTGGATATAGGGACATGCCCAGGTGGTGAAGAAATTCATTGGATTAAAGAGCTGAGTTTAACATGGAAATGGTATAATTTCTAAGGATAGATGGCATACAGGTAGTTTTTGAACGTTCAACATTTGTTAAGTGAACATTCAAAGTTACAATAGTACTGAAAATGGGACTTATCAATAGTTTTCACACTTAAAATCACTGTAGCATCTCCATGGTCACATGATCAAGATTTGGGCACTTGGCCACTGGCATGTCCTTATGACAGTTGCACTGTTCTGGGGTCATATGATCACTGTAACTTTCCCAGCTGGCTTCTGACATGCAAAATCATGGAGGAAACCAGATTCACTTAAAAACCACAGTGATTCACTGAACAACTATGGCAAAAAAAGATTGTAAAAGGTCGTACAACTCACTTTATTTCTATTTTGCTTAGCAACAGAAATTGTGGGTTCAATTATGTTCGTAAGTCGAAGAGGTTGCTATTTCTGTCAATTATACATAATTCAATCTTAAAGAGTTGCTCTGGGATTTATTCTGGACACAGCACACTAGGTCACCTAGTTTTCAAAGCAAAGCTCAACATTATTGGTAGTTATTAATACAATTGGTAGTAATTGGTATTGCTAATTGGTAGTTATTCATCAGTAGGCAACATCATCAGTGCTAGTAAGGAGTGGGGCTTGCTCTCAGTTTATATTCTGGTGGCTTATCTTGTCATTGTTGGTGGGCGTAGTCTTAGAGGTTCTTTTGTTGAGCTGTTTACTGTTGACTTGCTTGCAGTTCCTTGATTGAGCTATTGTTTACTTGATTGTTGGTCTGATGTTAATCTTGGAGTTATCTGGGTATTGATTACTGGTGGGGAGGTGTTCTGGTCTTTTTGTTCCTTTTTTGGCTTGTTGATGTCTCTTTTGCATAGATATTGTTTATGTCAGGGGTGGGCTGCTGGGGGTTCGCAGGGGTTGGGGAGAACTTCTAGATTCTGTGCAGTTCGGAGAACCCCCAAATCCCACTCCTGGCTGGCCCTGTCCACCTCACCCTGCCCATCCCAGGAGTCCCCACACAGCCTGTTTTGGATGCAGGTAAGTGCAGGGCGTGCGAGGAGGCTCGGGGAGGGTGAAAAACACACCTGCCCCCAGAGCCTGGGGAGGGCAAAAAGCCCTCCTCCCTCCCCGTGGTGCAGGAAGCCAACTAGGCTATGCTCACCATGGCCACGCCCATCCAGCAACTGGGAAGAGAACCCCTTGCTAAAAGCCCACCCCTGGTTTATCTCTATGTATCTATTAATGGCTAACTTGTCAGACTGCTAGATTTCTAAAAATTTCCTAGCGTTTTTGGACTTGGTTTGGTCTAGGATGGTCACAGTTTTCCACCCACACCAACCGAGTGCTCCATTACCAAAGCAACAACCCAATCTCCCACAAGAGAAGCGAGTAAGATGGGAAAAGGGAACAAAGGGACTATTATATTACTGGGCTTCAACATTATGACAGAGGAAAATGAGGAAAACTGCAGTATGGGGTTACAGTGTGAATAGGGAAAATTAGGTACAATTACAAAATTTACCTTCCCCACCACCACTTTTTATTTATTTATTACTTGTCAATAAAAACAACTGGTTTTCCAATAGCAGAAAATCTATGAATTGTACTGTAACTTTGGAAAGAAATGGAAGCTGATTAAAACACGTTGCTCAATGTGGTATTTTAAAAATCGGCTCCAAGTGAAGCACTTTGCATAACTTGAAAGAGTAGATGTTGGAAATAGTGCTTTTAGGCTGCATCACCTTTAAGAAAATAAGAGCCAGGGATACTGGCTCTTATTGAAATGTCTTTAATCAGCTTCCTGTCTTCTGCTTCAAGAGATCATTCATAATATAATAATTTTTAAAAGTATTTTTATTAACTGAGACCAAAACTTTGAATGTTTCCAACCCATGCTGCATCAAAATTAAAGCAAATGATCCATTTCAAATAAGACTTAGTTTATTTGCTGCATTATTGTTTTTCATATACTTTCTATTTTTTAGCATCTTTCTTGAACTGCATTGCCTAGACCTTACTACTATATTCACCCATTTGCACAGTATTAATAGTAATTTGGAAGTGGGATGGTTTATTTAATCTTGGTGCAACCTAAGACGTTCTGCATTTATGTTACTTTAGTTGATCAAGAAGCAGCTGGTGAACTCCATCAAGGCCCTGCAGAAGCATTATGTGACCTCTGAGGCTGTTGTAACAAGTGATGATCAAGATGCTAATACTCTTTGTTGTGTATTGGAGGCTGTGTTTGTGCATGGTTTGAACGCTAAGCACATCAAAGCAGAGGTTGGAGCAAAAGGGAAAAAACATGGAGAGGGACGACTTCCTCAGCCAGTGTTTTGGACTCTGCTAAAATCTATTATTCACAGGTGAGACTGAGAAATGCTGCAATTTTGATCTGGGAAGTTACAGTAGGGTTCAATATTTATTTACATGGTGAGTTTATAGTATGACGTAAGAGTGAGATTTTTGGGTGCAGAAAATCATCTGATGTGTGGAATGCTAGAGAACTTGTCTCATCTTTATGGATTTAGTAGATTAAAAAAAAAACCATGGTGTAATTATATGTGCCTCAGTTACCTCTTGATGGGGCAGCAAAATGGCTCATTGGTTAAAACAGGGGTGTCAAACTCAATTTCATTGAGGACCACATCAGCTTTATGGTTGCCTTCAAAAGGCCAGTAGCCAGGTTGCCCCAACTAGGTGGGCATGGCATGGCCAGCTCTGCGCCACTCACTGGGTGCAGCTGACTCGGGATGGCTGGGTCAGGACGGAACAAGTCACACTGGTTTGTGGGGACAACTTGGTGCCCCACAAGATCCTCGCCTCCCCACGCATGCACATCTCATTCCAAGTTTGGGGACTTTTATCCACAGAAGAAGAAGAAGAACCCTTTTCCCCAAGCCCAGACATGATTTGTAGTTTGTAAGTCAGATATGGATAAAAGTCTTCAAGCTTGGAATGTTATGTGTGTGTGTGCGTGTGCGTGTGGGTGCACAGCATGCCAAAGAAGATATTCTTCTCCCAATCCCAGACATTATAGGCATTTCCCTATACAGTGCCCCCTTCCAGCAAAGCAGGAGGCAGAGGATGCTGCTGCTGCATGTAGAAGCGCAAGGAGAAAGTTTGCAAGAGGCAGTTTCCTCTAAGTCCAGTTGACACATCTCTGGAGAGCAAGAGGAGGAGGCAGGGCTCCCTGGTTCTGCATGAGGAAGGCTGACTGTTCTTGAAAGGGAATCCCCATTTCCAATCATATGTGGTAAGATGCCAGCTTGTTGAGGCAGCCTTTCCTCATGCAGCTCCCCCTCCACTCCTTCCTCCTCCTCTCCAGAGATCCAGCAAGGCAGAAGTTGGACTCAGAGGAAACTGCTTCCTACAAACTTTCTCCTCCACAATTCCACACACAGCAGTGTCAGTCCTCTGCCTCCTGTGGGAGGCCAGGCAAGGTTGGAAGGGGGGATCCAGAAGTTTCCAGTGGAGGAAGGTGAGACTAGGGCGAACACCAAAGCCTAGTCTACCAGAGGAGCCTCACCGCCCTTCTCAGGACACCCAGAGGACCCTAGACAGTGGCGCAGGCTGCCCAGAGCCCTGGGCAGCGGAGGGGAAGCACCAGCCCAGTCCTTAAGCTCCTGGGGCACTAGGACCCCGCAGTCCGACCCAGCCCTGCTTCCCCAAGGGGGGCACCCAGATGCACTGAGAAAGCTGTAGTCTTGTCTGGATGATTCACTCAGTAAATCCACAACTAAGGGGCAACTTGAACACATGGCCAATTTCCTATATATTTTGTCTGCACCTAGAAGCTTCACTCTCAAAATACTGTGTATGCTGGATATTTAACTTGTCTATTCTAATCCTTTAGATCAGGGGTGTCAAACTGGCGGCCCGCAGACCAGTTGTGTCACACCCAGGCCACACCCACCGCAGCTCCACAAAGGGGGGAAATGTTGCGATACATGACATGACATGACATCACAAGTTTAACACCCGTGCTTTAGACCAACTTAACACATAGTATAGAATGCATCAATTCTATTCATGTATTAAAACAGTTTATTGTGATGCTTGAAAGAGCAAAATAACAGTTATTGAATGTGTTGAATTATATGTGACTAAACCTCAGTCATCTTTGATACTTATCTCTGGACTCCATGTGGTACATTGAGAGATAGAATTACTGGAGATGATCTCTCTCTTGCAAATGTTTTAAATCTTTGTATTTCTTTCCAGAGTGTTAGCAGAATTTACCAGGACACAGAGAAAGTTGGAATCTGTAGGAGTTCATGAAGCACACCTTGTCTCTCAGTCTTCCCCACCAGAGTGCCCCTGCCCTGTCACCAGTTTCTGCACTGTGCACCTTCCTCATACTGTAATGGCAAAAGGTCCGGTTGACATCACGGTACCTGCAATAATGACAAATTCACAGCTTCCCAATTTACCTAAGAGTGGAGAATCTGTTCGTAGTACCAGTGTCCAACAGACCTCTACGCCAGCCACAATAATTGTGACCAAAGAACCTGCGGATGTGACCCAAATTCATTGCAACATCAAGAGAGGAGCTAAAACCTGGACCAGTGAAGTCAATGGTTATGAAGGAAGTTTTCCAGGAACAGACCAGCTTCTTTCACCAGTCTCACCAGTGAACTGCCCTGTAAGAACTACTTGTTTTGTTCTGTGATATGTTTTTGCAGCTTCCGAGGCTCTTTCTGGCCACATTGCCAAAAATTGGCAGTAACAAACAGGCCATTGGAAGTTGAGTGAATTGTTTATCATGGGATATTAACTCCTTGTTTGGGGACCTGAGAACATCTTTGTATTTCTACATTTTTTTAAAAATTGGTATTTAATGAACTATGATTAATAAACACCATCAGGTAACTAAATTAACACAAATCCAAGATGAAAAAAAGATATGGAAATTACAAACAAATCTATTTAAATACAAATGACACTTGCTGTACCTGTACAGATTTATCATATATGTAAAGCATTACCATAATTTTATTATCACTTTTTTATAAAAATGAGAAATGGCAAATCTATCACATTCACCAGCTAGGGGCCTCACGACAAACAAATGATATTGATCAAGAAGTTCCTTTACAGCTCCGGAAATGCTTTTCCTGCAGCTGCACTGAAACTTCCTGTCCTTGACTTCATTTCCTCCTAGCTGCAGTGCCTTACTCCTGGCTTTGAGCCAGTCTGTATGTCATATTTAATAGGAAATGATGTCACCGTTCCCAGATCACTTTTCCCAAATATCACCCATCTATTCCACTGACATCTAGAAGAAAAACTGTGGGATACCTTTTAAGACTGTCTAATATTTTCTAAGGCATTCCCAAATGTCTGTAATAATTATTCCTGATGATATGAAAATTTTAAAAAAACAGATTTTGGTTTTACTTATATTTCTGCGTGTATATGTATGTGTTTAAAGTGTTCAAAATTAATAGAATTTTAAAAATTAAATAGTAATTTATGACATGCTGAATTTTTTAAAGAGAGTTGTTTAAATTGGATGGCCATTTTTCTTGGTTCTTTAAATTGTAGGTTTGGATCATGTTTTTTTTTTCAATTGATCTGTCCATCCAAAGGCAATAATGATAATTACCTGTATTTATAGTGCATGGTCTCAGGACCAGTCATTTAACATAATACTCAATTAGAAGATGGCTGCTTTGCTGGTCACTTGCAAGAAAATCTCTAAGACGGATATTGGTATTATCGAACCTGAATTTTATTCCTATTTAAATCTAGTAAAGCTCAGAATCATTCCACCATTCTTTCCACATTTCTTAATCACAGTCCTTCTTTTCACTTATTCTTGCTTCTTATCTCGGCCTGAGTATCATCAAATCTCAGCAATGTCAAAAATAAATACATTCTGTGCAGACTTCCATGATAGCAATAAGAGGAGGCTGTCCTGCGAAGGACAATATTTTCTTGCATCAGCCCAGCTGCTTGGATTCAATAAACTCAAAACCAGAAGAATACTTGTTCGGGTAATAGCACAAATGTTATCTTGCTTCTTTATTATTTCCCAACAGAAAAGAAGCTGGATCACTGAGGATGATTTTTACCGTCCTTCCCCTCCTGAGGAAATAGTCCTACCTGGAAATGGGTCAGGAGGCCCTCATACTTGGGGGCAATCTGGATGGCAATTCATAGGCAATCCTGAAGAATACTATTAAGGAAAATAGATACTTGCTACAGTATCTGGTTGCCATCCCTATGGAGAAAGGCCTGGACTGCCAAAGTTTCATATGTGCAGGTAGGGATGTATGGGTGCTTACAAAAAGATAACTTACACGAAGCCTTTTTTTAGTAAATTAAAATGTATTTTCTCTTCCAATTAAACAACTGAGATTGAGGATTTTACTTCTGCAGTAAATGGTCATAATATGGTATGACCATATTATGACCAATGGTAAATATTTGGTCATTCTTCTTATGACCAAATATTAATTTAACTAATAGAAATAATAAGAAATTCTTAAGCTGCGATAATTGAGGGGGGTGGAGTCAGTCCTGAAATGTCTGATTGTTCTGGGTTTTTTGTAATTGATTCATTTTGAATGCCAAAACTACACTTTGATTTCAGGGCTATTTGCCAGAGAAGATGGTAAAGTAAAGTTTGAAAAATCGTAAAGGCACATGCATAGATTATTGGAAGTGACTTTGTGTATCTCTAATTAACATGAACTCATCTCTGATTCAGTGAAAAGCTGGTCTATTTACAGTTCAGCAGTTATAAGTCCACAAGAAGAAAGATGTAGGAAGGTCAGACAATGTGCGACACACAGGTCTTATGAGCAAATGCAGTTTGTGACGTATCTGTGGATACTGTTCTCTAGTTCATAATCTTCACTATCATCTCTAAGTAGACGGTAGATTAATCTACTTGGTGACTTGACGGCACTTTTTTCTGTTTGTTTGTTTGAATGAATGAATGAATAACACATTCGGCTTTTAGTTTTTCTTTGCTTACATTGGACTACATTGGACGACTCCTGTATCTGTAATTATTTAACAAATATCCAGTTTCAATAACTGGGAAATGTCCAAGAATCCTTCAGTATAGAGCTCAGTATAGAGGTGAGATAATGCCTATGAGCCTCTTACAATGAAGTGCAGGAATTTCTATTAACCAGAAAATATTGGGATCCATTTTATTCCTAAGATAATTTCGTGAACAAGAGAAAAATTAAGGGTTTACCACCTTTAGTAGTAAATCTGATAATCAAAATAAAATAATGGACAAGAGGCTACACTTTTATGAAAGGTCAGGCCAAATTTCCTGATTTCTGAAGTGATATATCTTTTTTTTCAGTCACAGAGTAAAATACATTATTATATTTCTAGCCACTAAAATCAGAACAACAAATAGTTCTGTTCCAAAGATAGTTTTAGCCTTGGGTTTTCTTTCTGCTAAAAATAAAAAAGTAACACAGGAAAAAGGAGGGTTCTTGCTTGGTATATATTGAGCAGTAGATCAAAATATATGGTTGTGTAATAAAGGCAGGAGGTCTCTGTGTGAGTGTGTTTGTATACATATTACACACACAGCCACATCCATACTTGAGAAACACAGATCTAGAGATCAAGGCTGAGCAATAGCTGAGTCTTGGTTCAGCTCTAATATCTTCCTCTTACAAAGGCAGTGGCCTAGTCAGCAAATGAATTACAGAAAACTGAAAACTGACTTCTCTGGAGACAGCAGTTGGGGAACAGGCTGTCTAAATACAGAAGCTTCTCCAATAGCTAACAGTCAGATTCTGGCAATTTAAGATGATTTTACATTTTGTCTCTCCTTTTCAGGCTACTCCAGGCAGATTGGTTTCTTCTTTATGAAGCCTAAACTGTGTTCATTCACTGGCCGCTATTACTGTGACAATTGCCACCAAGATGAAGAGTCTGTGATACCTTCATGTCTTATTCATAACTGAGATCTTTCCAGATATCTGGTATGTCCTGTTATGATGGGAGGGGGCATAAGGTATATAAGCTCTGTTATGTGAAATTGTCTCTCATGTCTCTTTTAAATCCCACCTGCACAACTATAGTCACAAAATGACCATAGTTTTCATTATGAAAGAGAAAAGCTTGAGAGTACCTGTAAAGATCTCCTTCCTTTGTGCCCTATCTGCATTGCAAGTGAGCGCAAATAAGTGCAGGTTTTAAAAAAGCAGACTAGCAAAATGTGACCTCCCTCCCTCCCTCTGAGTGTTTCTCATCCTTAGCAGGTGGATTCCCCAGTGCTGGCTGGGAAATTTTGGGAACCAAAGTCCACACACTTTAAACTTGTTAAGGTTGAGAAGCACTGATTTAACTCAAGGACCATAAAGTGAGAAATCTATGAGTAAGGTAGCATTCTGGTTAGGATTTTTCAACTTCTGAGCTGTTACTCTGGCCCTAATTATGGCCAAGCTCAGTAAAGAGAAAAAATATGTTTTTCTCAAGGCACAATATCAGCTCTTTTCATTTTCTTCCCTTTTATTATTATAAACTGTCTGGAGTAGCCCCACAATGACATGAGCAGCAAATTAATTAATTAATTAAACAAACAAACCTTCAGTTCAAATTATAAGAAGGTACAGTCAGGTCCAGAAATATTGGGACATCGACACAATTCTAACATCTTTGGCTCTATACACCACCACAATGGAGTTGGAATGAAACAAACACAATGTGCGTTAACTGTCAGCTTTAATTTGAAGGTATGTACATCCAACTCAGGTGAACAGTGTAGGACTTACAGCAGTTTGTATATGTGCGTCCCACTTGTTAAGGGACCAAAAGTAATGGGACAATTGGCTTCTCAGTTGTTCCATGGCCAGGTGTGTGATATTCCCTCAATACCCCAATTACAATGTGCAGATAAAAGGCCCAGGATTCATTTCAAGTGTGCTATTTGCATTTGGAATCTGTTGCTGTCAACTCTCAAGATGAGATCCAAAGAGTTGTCACTATCAGTGAAGCAAGCCATCATTAGGCTGAAGAAACAAAACAAACCCATCAGAGAGATAGCAAGAACATTAGGCGTGGCCAAAACAACTGTTTGAAACATTCTCAAAAAGAAGGAATGCACCGGTGAGCTCAGCAACACCAAAAGACCTGGGAGACCACGGAAAACAAGTGTGGTGGATGACCGAAGAATTCTTTCCCTGGTGAAGAAAACACCCTTCACAACAGTTGGCCAGATCAAGAACACTCTCCAGGAGGTAGGTGTATGTGTGTCGAAGTCAACAATCAAGAGAAGACTTCACCAGAGTGAATACAGAGGGTTCACCACAAGATGTAAACCATTGGTGAGCCTCAAAAACAGGAAGGCCAGATTAGAGTGTGCCAAACAACATCTAACAAAGCCTTCACAGTTCTGGAACAAGATCCTATGGACAGATGAGACCAAGATCAACTTGTACCAGAGTGATGGGAAGAGAAGAGTATGGAGAAGGAAAGGAATTGCTCATGATCCTAAGCATACCACCTCATCAGTGAAGCATGGTGGTGGTAGTGTCATGGCGTGGGCATGTATGGCTGCCAATGGAACTGATTCTCTTGTATTTATTGATGATGTGACTGCTGACAAAAGCAGCAGGATGAATTCTGAAGTGTTTTGGGCAATATTATCTGCTCACATTCAGCCAAATGCTGCAGAACTCATTGGATGGCACTTCACAGTGCAGATGGACAATGACCCAAAGCATACTGCAAAAGCAACCAAAGAGTTTTTGAAGTGGAATGTTATGCAATGGACAAGTCAATCACCTGACCTGAATCCCATTGAGCATGCATTTCACTTGCTGAAGACAAAACTGAAAGGAAAATGCCCCAAGAACAAGCAGGAACTGAAGACAGTTGCAGTAGAGGCCTGGCAGAGCATCACCAGGGATGAAACCCAGCGTCTGATGATGTCTATGCGTTCCAGACTTCAGGCTGTGATTGACTGCAAAGGATTTGCAACCAAGTATTAAGAAGGGAAAGTTTGATTTATAATTATTATTCTGTCCCATTACTTTTGGTCCCTTAACAAGTGGGAGGCACATATGCAAACTGCTGTAAATCCTACACCGTTCACCTGAGTTGGATGTACATACCCTCAAATTAAAGCTGACAGTCTGCAGTTAACACACATTGTGTTTGTTTCATTCCAACTCCATTGTGGTGGTGTATGGAGCCAAAGATGTTATAATTGTGTTGATGTCCCAATATTTCTGGACCTGACTATACTTACTGGAATGTGAGCTAATGAATTTCTCTTTATAAATTATAATATTCTTTTGTATTTCCTAGATGTCATTCAGGAGCTTTTACAAGAACATTCTCATCTTTTGTCTCTGTCAGATTTGTTGCCAGGCTCTGAAATTCCTAGCCAAAATTCAAAATCAACCCTTGATTGACCTGAAGCTGGTAAATGAAACCCTCTATGACCATGTAGAGCAAATGAAACAAATCTATCAGAATCGTGAGCAGCTGAAGCTACTGGGTGATTACCTTGTCCTTTGTTGCAGTGGTGCCCTAAAGGAGATCAGTAAGAGGTGAGCCAGAGGCATAAAAGGGCCTTCTACAAATCAGTATATTAATCTGAATTGACTCCAGCCTTCCGACACAAGAATAAGTAAGCATTCTGCTTCCAAATGATGCTGGCTATTCAGTCAGAGATTGTATGTGGATCTGGATGCTCACCACCACATGGAGCTGCCTTTTGCACCACTTTTCATTCATCAGATAGACACAGCTCTCTCAGTAGCAGTTCCTTGGGATGATCTTACCATCACCACCACACATACATACACAATGCTAAGTTGACCCAAATCCTGCTGGCCTGTAGGAAAAATTTAAAAACATGGTCACAACTACAACACTGCAATGACACACATGCCGATCTTCCCTTTTGGCTCTGTCTTAGAGCAGGAAGAGTGTCTCCAAGTTCAGACAAACTTACTTCCTGCTTCCTGAGCCAGACAATTTACCTGTGAAACAGGATGTTCTTGGAAGCCTCTTTATGGTAACTTTGGGGAGTGTTTTTGATTCTGGTAGCAGCACAGCAATAGCCACTTCCTTAATCATCATCTTGCCTACCTCGCAGCTGGAGATTCCGTATTTTTCGGAGTATAAAATGCACCTTAGTTTTTGGGGAGGAAAATGGGGGGGGAGGGGAAATTCTGCCTCTGCCTACCAGGTATTCATCTGACTAGCATCCTTAGCCTGGTCAGCTTCAGCACATCACTTCGCTGATTGTGAGCGTGTGTGCTCTCTCGCTATGCTCAAACACACCTCGTTGGGGCTAATAAGCGATTTAAAAAGCACAGCTGATCGTCGGAGGGAGTTTGTTCCGCTTGTACGCATAGTGTTGGGGCTGATAAGCAGCTGTTCCAGGTTGCCATTTTGGGCTACGTACCACACATTTTCAAAACACTCAAACAGAGCATTTGGGAGGCTGAAAACGTGAGGCGCAGAGTCCAAAAACGCAAACCATTCTCTGTGGCAATGTCTGCAGCCAAGAAGAGGCCAAAGAGTGGGAGCTGGTGGCTGGGCGGGGCTACATTCAGAGTATAAGACCCATCCAAATTTTCAGCCCCTTTGGGGGGGGTGCATTTTATACTCCAAAAAATACGGTAATTTTCTCGTGCATGCCTCCTCAGCCAGAGGCACACCCACACTCAATGGCCAGCAAAGTCAACCAAAAGGTATGCATCATTTGAGGGACCCTTCTGGAATGATAGGCACTGATGATCTGTTATTTTAATAAACACAGCTTACACAGGAAGTAATCTCAAAATCCCTTCTTGGCTGTCAGGTAGAAGGAGAGTTCCCAGAGGAAAAAAGTTAGGAGGCATGTAAGCCTAAATGTGAAGAAAGAGGCAGCTATATAATTATCTAACTTTTATCCCTCTATCTGTTAAATAGTTTTAAAGTTGCCTTATAGCTAGTAAAATTACTTAACCATCTAACAGGGTGTTTTTCAAATGTGCCAACTTTAAAGTATGTGTACTTCAGCTCCCAGCATATTTGGCTGGGAAATTCTAGAAGTTGATGTCCACACATCATAAAGTTGTCAAGTTTGAAAAACACTGACCTAATGTAACCCAGGAGGGTACATACTTTCTAAACTAACCAAAATTAAATTTAATCACATTTTATTTCATAGCTAATTTTACAGCCCTAGACTCTGTTTTTCCCCTATCAGCTGCTGTCTGGGGCTTCCTTCTATATCTGCCCCATCATTCCTTTTGACCTGATAATGATTGCGACAGAAACTGGAACCAGTATGTGCAACTGGTGCACATACAACATGTGTTGTATGTAAAGTTATCTGTTGTCTCCTGAGAAATGATATCTGAGTACCAAAGGAGAAAAACATAGGTTTTTTCCAACCTTATTTTCTTACACAATTGGAATCTCTGAGTGGAAAGTTGTTTCAAGAGTTCAGTCGAGGAAGTCTGGCAACAGGGATACAACAACTTTATTTGTGATTCCAGTTTCATGCTTGAGATGTAAAGATATTATAAGAGGGAGGCTGGCCTTTGGAGCCAATAATACAGAAATAGAATATCTAATATCTTCCAATAGGTTGTACTACAATTCCAACTTGGCTGTTGAGCTCTAATGTGACCTTCTGAAGAACCTGTGACCTGTTCACAGATGATGAGTTGCTTCTAGAATTGTTATACTTCTTCTTCCTTGCAGGTGTAGTGAGTGCTTCCACAATAGTTGTCAGGCAACTCTCAGTTTCTGCCCTCGTTGTGTCTGTCAGCAAAAATATCACACACCAGCAACAAATCTCTTTGAAATGATCTCAACTGTGCCAGTCTTTTGGATAAGATTTTGGAATTGGATAAGATTCTGGAATTCTCCAGAAGGCAATTGGAAGACAGAAGCTTAGGAGCAATGGAAAAATACTGCCAGCTGCACACCTTCTGTCTGATTATAGTCCTAACAACCACCTTGCCATCAGCTCTGGGAAAGGAACCCACAGAGATACTTCCTTGAATTCACCCATTATTGTCATTAATCTTCATTTATTCCTTCCTTCCCAAGCAAATTCATCCTTATCCTGACATTTGGTGAATACTGGATATTAAAGGCATACATAGCAAGAACTCCTAAGAAGACTGACTTTAGTGGATGTCTCTTGATTTAAAGTGCTGGAAAAAGGGAATGTTGTTTTACTTTTAACAAATGCTACACCCTGCCACAGGGAGGCAGAGCCGGTAAGATGGTTCCGCCCCAGGCGCCTGATGGAAACTGATAGGTTCCAGATGGAGCTTGGGCCATTCCCTGAGGCTCTGGCACATGCCTCGACTGGAGACCTAGTGGCCGCCTGGGATAGGGTGGCCGCTGGAGCTCTGGACCGGGTCGTGCCTTTGCGGCCTCTGACCCGGCGCCGATCTCATTTAGCTCCTTGGTTTACTGAGGAGCTGAGGGAGTTGAAGCGCCAGAAAAGACGCCTAGAGAGTAGTTGGAGGGCCAGTCGCTCTGAATCTGACTGGACACTGGTAAGATCTCATATTAGGAATTACCTAGTGGCGATAAAAGCAACGAAATGTAGTTATTTTGCTGCTCTTATTGCGTCATCAGATAATCGCCCGGCCGCCCTGTTTAGGGTGACCCGCTCCCTGCTCCACCAGGAAGCGCGGGAGGACCCCTTGGAGGGTAGAGCCGAGGATTTTGTTCAATATCTGTATGACAAAATCACTCAGATTCGGGAAGATCTGGACTCTGACTGGGTAGTCTCAGGGGGAGGGACTGGGGCAGGTCTTGAGAATGTTATCTGGGATGAGTTTGATCCTGTGACCCCTGAGGACGTGGACAGGATTCTGGGTAGACTGAACGCGACCACTTGTTTATTGGACCCGTGTCCCTCCTGGTTAGTGCTGGCTTCTCGGGAGGTGACACGAGGCTAGTTCCAGGGGATTATAAATGCTTCGTTGGGTGAGGGTGTCTTTCCTGCCGCCTTGAAAGAGGCGGTGGTGAGGCCTCTCCTCAAGAAGCCTTCCCTGGACCCGGCAATGTTGGTAAATTATCGTCCGGTCTCCAACCTTCGTTTTGTGGCGAAGGTTGTTGAGAGTGTGGTCGCGCAACAGCTCCCCCAGCACCTGGATGAAACGACATATCTGGATCCGTTCCAGTCGGGCTTCAGGCCCGGGTACAGCACGGAAACGGCATTGGTCGCGTTGGTTGATGATCTCTGGAGGGCTCGGGACAGGGGGTGCTCCTCTGTCCTGGTCCTGTTAGATCTCTCAGCGGCTTTTGATACCATCGACCATGGTATCATGCTGCACCGGTTAGAAGAGTTAGGGGTGGGAAGCACTGTGTTGCGGTGGTTCTCCTCCTTTCTCTCTGACCGGTCGCAGTCTGTGTTGACAGGGGGACAGAGGTCGACCCCGAGGCCCCTCATATGTGGAGTGCCGCAGGGGTCGGTCCTCTCGCCCCTTCTGTTCAACATTTATGTGAAGCCGCTGGGCGAGATCATCCGTGGTTTCGGGGTGGAGTACCATCAGTACGCTGACGACACCCAGCTGTACATCTCCACCCCGGATCACCCCACCGATGCCCTTGAAGTGATGTCCCAGTGCCTGGAGGCCGTACGGATCTGGATGGGGAGGAACAGGCTCAGGCTCAACCCATCCAAGACCGAGTGGCTGTGGTTTCCGACGTCCCGATATAGTCAGTTGACGCCATCACTGACTATTGGGGGCGAATCACTGGCCCCCACGGAGAGGGCTCACAACTTGGGCGTCCTCCTGGATTCACGGCTGTCTTTAGAAGAGCACCTGACGGCCGTGACCGGGAGGATTTTTTATCAGGTTTGCCTGATTCGCCAGTTGCGTCCCTTTCTGGATCGGGACTCGTTACGCACGGTCACTCATGCCCTCGTCACCTCCCGCCTGGACTATTGTAATGCTCTCTACATGGGGCTCCCCTTGAGGAGCACCCAGAGGCTCCAACTGGCGCAGAGTGCGGACGCGCGGGTGGTAATGGGAGCGTCATGGCGCTCCCATGTGACACCTCTCCTGCGCGAGCTGCACTGGCTCCCGGTGGTCTTCCGGGTGCGCTTCAAGGTTTTGGTTACCACCTTCAAAGCGCTCCATGGCTTAGGACCTGGTTATCTACGGGACCGCCTACTACCACCAATAGCCTCCCACCGGCCAGTACGCTCTCATAGAGAGGGACTCCTCCGGGTGCCGTCAGCCAAACAGTGTCGGCTGGCGACCCCTAGGGGGAGAGCCTTCTCTGTGGGGGAACCTACCGTCTGGAATGAGCTCCCCCCAGAGATACGGAGGATTCCGGATCTGCGCACCTTCCGCCGCGCTGTGAAGACTTTTTTATTCCATCAAGCAGGCTTGGCCTAATCTCCTCCCTCTTTTAATATGTAAATTTTAATCTGTTTTTAAATTATTGGAGTGTTTTAATCTGTCTGGGCCAAAATGATTTAATTTGATTTTATCTGGTTTTAAATTTTGTGTATTTATGTACTTTATTGCTTGGCTGTTCACCGCCCTGAGTCCTTCGGGAGTAGGGCGGTATACAAATCAAATAATAAAAAAATAATAAATAAAATAAAATCTCAAATGTATCATACTGCATCAGAATAGCAATAGTACTTAGACTTATATACCACTTCACAGTGCTTTACAGCCCACTGTAAGATGTTTACAGAATCAGCATATTGCCCCCAACAGTAACAGTAACCGAAATGTATACTAGAGATTCGAACTGCCAACCTTTCTGATCAACAAGCTCAGCGTCTTAGCCACTGAGCCACCTAGGGAACCACCGACAATCTGGGTCCTCATTTTACCAACTTCAGAAGGATGGAAGACTGAGTCAGTCTTGAGCTTGTGAGAATCAAACTGCAGAATAGCTGGCAGTTAGTAGAAGTAGCCTACAGAACTGCTTTCTAACCACTGCGCCATGACGACTCTTAGTTAACATGCATCATCATGGATGTAACATTTCTGCTCCATCCTCCATGATCACCCATATATTTTTAAGGATTTTATTTTTGTAGTCCTACAAACTTCCTTTTTTTCGGTAAAGTAAAGCTAATTACATAGTTTCAGTCAAGAAACAGAGGAAACACCATATGATACATGGTATTAGTTCGGGTTCCAGTTCTGCATCTATCAGCATCTTGCTTTGGGGAGTACAATTTTTATTTATTTATTTATTTATTTATTTATTATTAGATTTATATACTGCCCTACTCCCGAGGGACTCAGGGCGGTGAACAGCCAAGAGATAAAACATACAGAATTACAAAATTTAAAAACTGTATAAAAACCTAATTAAATAAATTTGGCCCAGAACAGATTAAAACACTCTTAAAATTTTAGACAAATTTAACATTTACAATTAAAAATTAAAAAGGGAGGTTAGGCCAGGCCAGCCTGTTGGAATAAAAAGGTCTTGAGGGCACGGCAGAAGGTGCGTAAATCCGGGATCCTCCGTATTCTCAAGGATCCATGTACAAAATAATGTATTATATTAATTTTAATTAATAGTGCATGCAGAGAAAAAGACACACCCATAGATATTCCTATATACACTTCCGTTCTTTGTTCCATCCTCTTATTTAGATCACGTGTTTAAATTTAGTTCCAAAGTTATATAGTTATATTGTGGACTTCTTCAGACAGATTTTCAAGTTCCTCCAGGAAAGAGAGAGAGGAAAATATATTGAGAATTGAGCAGTCATGCATATAATTTTATATCCATATTTTAATTGACATTCCATTAAAAGAACTCCCAAATGAAGTACGAATTCCAACATATATTAGGATATGTTGCCAATCATATTTCTGCAGACCCCCCTCAATCAAGGAATTCCAACTGGCAGGATCCAAGAGAAGAGTGTCTTTTGCTGAGGATTCTACCCTGTAGAAGTTAATGCTCCTGAGGTGAGACTCACATCAACCCTTTCGGCCTTCCAAAAAGGTCTGAAGAACTGGCTCTGCCAACTAACTGGGGCCGCAATGTGGACATATCATTCTGGAAGTGGTTAGTGGACTAAGATAAGACCTCACTTCCCATATTTCTCCTTTCCTTGCCATCTTTGTCAATTTTTAAATATTTATTATTTCAATGCTCTACCTTGTTGCTTTTATTGATTTTAAGATGCCTAGGAATGGGCAGCATAGAAGCTACATACATACATAATTCCAAAAGGAATTGTTTTCTAATCTACAGACTGTACCTCACATATCCAAGATTTGTCTCTTGTTCCTTTTTCACCTGCCAACAAATTTATCAGCCAATGAGTTTTGGTCTTATTTTGATCATTATGTACCAATGACAAAATAACAATATCTTCAAATGCATTTGACATATCTGTGCAATATTCATGAGATTGAATTGTTGGTTAATAACCAACAATTCATAACCTGGCTGTGTGAATCTATCTACCATCAGGCAACAACTGTTTGGATGTGTGATTTTTTTTTTATCGCTAGTGGCAATCAAAATAGGAACTCAGTTCTGAAATTTTGTTTTGGTTCAATGAAGGGGATGTGTGTTTGGAGAAGGGGGGTTGACTTTTCACTTTTTCCCATCTACTCTTGCCCACAATTCTGTTCTTGACTACATCTGTTTCTTGAGTTCATCCCTAGAATACCACTTGACACAAAAGCTTGCCCACCCTGCTCTAAAATAATGTTTTCACCTTTGATCTGCAGAAAGATGGATCTGCTTGCAACTTCCAGTTTTAAGTTGAAATTGCATCAAAAACTTCGAGCATCTTGGCTAGAGAATTTGAAGAGCTGAAGTCCACACATCTTAAATTTGCTGAGATTGAGAAACATTACAGCAAGGAAGGTGGTACATGTGGATAAGACTCAACATTGCCTCATTAGGAACAAGTCTCCAAAGTAGCCTGCAAAGTTATGCAACACTTTAGCATTATCCATTCATTCGCAGAGGAGGAAAATTGACTTGTGATAAAAGCTAACATCTGAGAAATATTGCCTGCTAGATACTTGGGAAGAGGACTTTCAAAGTGACAGCAGATTTCAAGGATATCAAAGAATAATGTGTCGATTAAAGTGGCAATATCTAGCTGTCTGAGGGATTGGAAAGGCTAAGCAGAGTTGGATCTGGATGGAGACTGCTAAAATACCAGGGCTTTAGACTAGACAGGGAAGTTGTGGGGTGGGAGAAGGGGAAAGCTGAGAAAGCAGCAATGATAGCCACTTCCATGGCACTGCTTGAAAACAATGTGGTTGCATTCATGACAGCACCCGAAGTTGAGCTCAGTTTGAGGGCAACTTCAATTTTAGCAGTTCCTTATTACTGTTATTAGAGCAAGTCTGATTTTAACAGGGAGAAAACAAAATAAGCATTTGGAAAATCCCATAGTGTTGCCAATATGTCAGGAAAGCTATTAAATAATGTTAAGGATTTAGGAAATACAAAGAAACATTTATTAATATTGGCTTCATACAACATTGAGTTATATAGGAAGATGATGTGGTTTTAATGGCAACACCTACCAAACATAGGCAGGAAGTGAAGTTTGTGTGCAGTCTGGAGGAAATGCCTTTTAGAGCTGGGCTTATTGCACTGAAAATGGTATGTGAGGGCTGAAACCGAAAACTGGATGCATCAGCAGTAGCTAATGTCCTGGCTGGAAATTAATGAATCTGCAATATCTGGAGGCTATCAAGTTGAAGAAGGTTACCAAGTTCTAGCTGCAAGGTTACTACTAGCACAGGGGTCAGCAACGTGTGGCTCTGGAGCCACATGTGGCTCTTTCATCCCTCTGCTGTGGCTCCCTGTTGCTGGTCAACTCCACAATTGATAGGGCTTCGGCTAGGACAGGTAGAGGAAAAAGAATGCTGTGCCAGGAGGAGACTCTATAGTAGGGGAACTGACTTCCAGTCGGCAGAGGAAAAAGGACGCCGTGCTAGGAGGAGACTATGGTGGGGGAAACCGGACTTCCGGTCGGCTCCAGAATTGAATGGGGACTTCCGGTTAGGACCTTTGTGGTTCTTTGAGTGCTTAAGGTTGCCGACCCCTGTACTAGCAGGTAACCAGCAGGTCTTTCAGAGATGAGCCAGCCCTATTCTCAAGGCACAAGCAAAACATCATAAACTGTCTAGAAGGGAGATTTCCTCTGTGACTTCAGATATGATTGCCAATGAAAACCTGACTTTGAAATTGTACCCTCCACCCAATCATTTCAAGTCAGTGTTCCTGGAGACATTTTACAGCCAGCATTACAGCTGATGCTGTGAGATATGGCAGAGTTTACACAGTACCAAATGGAGGCTGAATGTACTATAAAATCCTTGTTGGGAAACATTTTATCATCTGAAAGTATTGTTTTCAGCCTTGTTTTCATCCTATTTATATAAAATTGTTTGCTTTTCTTTTAACTAGATTTTGTAGGTAACTCTGGAACTTACATATTCCTCACATTTCACCTAATCTGTCTCCAGTTTTACTTTTTTATGTTATTTATTTAATTTATCTCCACTCCCTCTAGTGTTATATATTTCCTTCACAGCAGGCTTTCAAGGATTGTTACAGTAGAGCCATGATATTGAATTTGCAAATATCTAGATAGCCAATAGATGGCAGCAAAGAGATATTGAGAACTTTTTGCTACTGAGGTAAGGTACCCATTTTAGGCTAATTATCTATGGAGATTCTCAGTCATCAAGGTCTGGTTGTCCCAAAGGTGCTTTTTTCCCCCCTCAAAAGGCAATTGGACTTTGTTTTTCCTTGAAGACATTTCGTTCTCATCCAAAAAGCCTCTTCAGTTCTGACTGAATGGTGGAGTGGGGAAGGATTTTATTTATTTATTTATTGGTTCGATTTATATGCCGCCCTTCTCTGGAGACTCAGGGCAGCTTACAATGCGTTAAGCAATAGCCTTCATACTTTTGTATATACCTGCTTAGTAGGACTTTTGCCCCCCCCCAAGCGGTGTTCTTTTTTATACAAAGTCAGCTTATTGCCCACACAAACCAGGTCCTCATTTTATCTACCTCAAAAGGATGGAAGACTGAGTCAATCTTGAGCCTGGTGAGATTTGAACTTGCAGTAATTGCAGGCAGCTGGTGTTACTTAACAGTGCTTTAGTCTGCTGCGCTACCAAGACTCTTATATTCATTGCAGTCATCTGGTTGTTAGTACGCTTTCTGAGAGTTGTTGAGGCCACTTGAAGGTTTCTTTGTGCCCTCAGGGTCACCTGAATAGTACAAATAGAACCCAGGGGTGGTTTCTATTTACCTTGACTACCGGTTTCCAGCAGGGCTTGCTTCGCTCGCTTGCGCACACACTCTTCTGCGCAAATGCAGAATGACATTGGGGTCGGTGGGTGGGGCCTCCTGCCAGTTTTACTACCCGTTCTATAGAACCGGTGCGAACTGGGGGCAACCAACCACTGGTATGGAACCTTCTTGGAACTGCTGAAAGGACTGTGTTGTTACAAGCGCATAGAAATATCCACAGTTGGTGCTCTAAAACTGCAGTTCAAAGAACAGTCTGCACCACATTTCTGGGTTCATCTACAAGCAGATTTTCTGGAACTATCCAAGAGGGCTATAAAAGTATTGATGCCTTTCGTAATGACATACATGTGCGAAAAATCATTCTCTGCTCTCATTTAGCTTAAGAAAAAGCATAGTAACGGCTTGAAAATGTAGAGTCAGCACTCAAAACACAAGTTTCACTTATTAAGCCAGATATAACAAGGTTTGTGAGTGAAATGCAGCACCAGCATTCTTATTAGTTGTAATTACATGAACATAATATGTTCCCCTTTTCCCAACAGCTTGCGTTAAGTGAAATACAACCTGTAAAATTATATTCATACCATTTTCTAGCTTTCATTTTCACCTGACTTTTGTATGCATATACTTTATTAATGGTTCCATGTGCTCGTAGTTTCACTACTGTATAGTTGGTGAGGCCTACTTTAATTGGCCGTTTTTTGTCTTAAAGACATTTTCTTAACCCAACATCCCACTTTAGGGCCACCATAGGGCTGAAGTTCCTCCAGATGGTGGGCCTGGATTTATAAACAAAAATATATGGTGTCTTAACACAGACAAACAAGGGGGGAGATAAGCAGAATTGTAAAGTCTTTTCATCAAATTCTAGTGTAAATACTGACATCAAGTTCAGAATTAGCTCATTAAAATACACTAAAATAGTCCATTGGGGTGAAAAGATACTTTAAATTCATCATTGCAATAAAGATATTATAATAGGAGTGTGTGCATTAACAGATTTTCCCTTGTCTCTAAATTTGAAGGCTCTTCGTCAGAAAATTGAAATAAATATTTGATGCAGTCTAGTGCTTTAAATCTTGAATTTATTCATGGTGGTCTATGGTCATGCTCTGTGACCACAAAAGGTATTTAAAGGGAGTCCATGGTGAAGAAAAGATTGAGAACCATTGTAATACAGGAACACTCTTTTCAATAGGCTTAGTAGAGATATTGCATTTAGAGAGTTTAGATCAGAACCTTTCATGGTGTCTGTCAAAATTTCCCTCCCAGCATAGTCATTACTGAGAAGACCTGGGCTAGATACTTTATATAGTTTATTCTTCTTCTTTGTAGATTGACTTATATATGGAGCAGAGATGAGCAATTAAAAGGGGAAAGACTAAAAAATGAACAAGTACAACACTTTCCAAGATACAATCCCAGCTCATTCCGCACATCCACAATCTTAGCCACTGCTGAATAAGCAGAAGTGGAAAAATATCTAGCTTTTGCTATCAGAATGTGGCCATTTATTATGTCACATGTAAAAATCCACCTTGCATATGGTTCTTATTTTCCCCAAAATACCGGGATGGTCCTGGAATAATAACAACCATGAGAATCAGTTGCCTTCCTTTAATTTCTTGCTAAATGAATACAATCATTTGGATTTAGAAAAGCTGCATAGACCCCAGTGTAGTTCATTCCATGCTGGGATCCTGTGACTTGGTTAGAAAAGGTGAAATATCGAGGCGGGTGGAAATCATATGCATGCAGACAATCTCCATGTATGAGTCATTGTCCTCTAAACAGTGCCTCACCCCGCCTCACTACTGCCTAAAGGAGACTTCCTCTGAGTAGGAAAACTTCCTTCCTCCATCCAGTGCAGTCTGGTGGGAACACCCAAGTCACACTGCATGCTTTCTCAGGCATTCAATCTCTTTGTGACTGTGAGAGGCACAGGAGAGAAGGGAAACAAGCTGAGATATTTGTAGAAGAAACCAATTGCTCACTTAGGGCTCGAATGCAAGAGGTCTAAATCCATGAGGCTGAAAACACCTGTGTCCGCTGGATGTGGCCTGAATGAAACAGGCAGCCCAGAGTAGGGCGTGGTGAGCTCATCGTTAATGTTTCTTTTCTCTCTGCAGGGTTTTTTGACTTTATCATTCTGGACTAACATCAAAGCTTCCCTTGGAGTCCAGATTGATACTCCGAACAGGATGGATTATTTTTGATCTTCCCGAGGGCCCTGCATCTCAGGATACTTGCAACAATGAAGAACGGGGGGGCAGAGCGTCCTGCCTGAACATTTTCCCACAAAGCTTTTTTGATTTTCTTAATTTGCCAATCTCTTATTGTATAGAAGCCAAGAGAAACATTCGCTTTGAGATATTCCTCCCCACTGATCGTCACAGAGTTTAACTTGGAGGGGGTGGGGGGAGGACCAGAGGCAGGTTCAGACCAAACACACAAGTCCAGGCGGCTCCTGACACAATCAACAAGGAAGAACCAGACCACACCTGAAGAGGCAGGACAGATTGTGTGGACGGAGACCAGAGAAGAACCTGGTGAGATGTGAACCAGCAGGTAAAACCGGGGACTGAGGTGGGATCCAAATCAGGCAAGCCAAGGGTGGGGAAGCTGTGGCAGGAATCTAATAGCATAGGAAACTGATCGAGGGACTGTCCTTTTCCAAAAGGTTGCTCTAACAACTGGAATTTGAGTGGTAGCTTTTGATTGGCTACTAAATGTTTGGTTCCAGGCTTCGGTGCTTGTCTGGGCAGGCCTCTCTTGTGGAGTGGAGAAATGGAATTGTGCCCACTGCACTGAAAGGGTTAGGAATTGCTTCCCCGCAGCTTTATGCTAATTGCCATCGTCATGAGAGCCCTCGGTGCATTCAGCTGATGTTCTGTAGATGAAGGATCTCCTCTCTGACTTGCAAACCACTTCAGTATAATCCCTAGATTGTCAGGGATTCTCCCAATGGGGTTAAGGGCAATGAAACTGTGATTCAGATACCATCTGAGCTACTGAGTTGCCCTGAGGCCTTGGGATATTTTCCAAGCTTCCATTTTCACTGTCTCTAAACTATTAGGAACAACAAGACTGCACCTACCGCAAGTGGAAAACTCAATCAATAACAATCTTTTCTTTGGAAGCATTAAATAAAGTTTATGTGCATCTGTTGATTAGAACACAGCTCTTCAAACTCTTGTCATGAGGCAACTATTGCAACTACTTAATAAATCAAAAACCTTTCCATAATATTTCTCCCCAAAGTATGGAAAGAAGTGACATTTTAGAAGTCTTACGCCATTTTATTTAGTGGATAACCATAGTTTTACACTTGATCCGCTAAATCAGTGTTTTTTTAACCTTTTTTTGTCCTTGGCTGCCTTCCAACCTTGTTTTGCTAAGATCTGCTAGGACCACTGTCCAGTTCCCACTAACAATATAAAAAAGATTGCCATTTACAAATTATAAATATATGTTTTTTATTTATAATAAACACAGTATTTGCAGTATAATACACTTTGTGTGGTCCCTTTGGCACATGCTTACATGCTTTCCCTTGTGATCTGCTTGAAATTTTCTAGGACCCTGAGGAATCATATGACCCCGAGTATGTTTTGAACTGCTGAATGAAATAATATATTTGTCTTGGTGGCGTAGGCTGGCCTTTGATTTCATAATGCATCATCATATTTTTCATGTCAGGAGAAGTGTGCTTTTATTTTTTGTTTAATTTATTAGTTATATCCTGTCCAACATACCTTTCTCTTCCTATTTTTCCCACCACAACAATCCTGTTAGGTGGGTTAGTCTGAGAGAGTGACTGCCCAAAGTCATGTTCCTGGGCACCAAATCTTGTTGTACTCAGGCATAGCCTCTCTGCACTATGTGTTGGAGTAACTGATCTTACTCTGTTAAATCTGAATTTGCACTACAGTTGACCTAATATATATTTAATATACCAGCCTTCCAGGGAAGTATCCTTGTACACGTGCAGATATTTTTTCTTCTTGACTGAATAAGGGAGTTGCCCAGACATGTAATAAATTACTTGTGGTTTCCTAGGAAATAAGGGGTCCATGCACATAAATGGGAATATATTACGGTGGAGGATCAAGACCATCTCTTTTCCAGATAAATGATTCCAGGATAGATAGCAGCTTGAATTTTTCAGTACAAAAGTTGTGAGCCATCCAGTTGGGAAAGAAAAACATTTCTCTCAGGAGGTTCTCTATTTTCGTATCAAGAATCTTCTCGTAGATAATGAAGGAAGAGAATAAATTCCTTGTGTACAACAATGCATACCTGGTTCTATCCGTTGTATGTACTTGTCCAAAAGCCAGATTTATAAGGAAAGTTCTAAAAGAGTTCTTTTTGTATACAACTGTACATTTTCTGTAACTTTTAAGCCTGAGTACATTTACTAATACAATTTTACCCTAGCAACATGGATTTATTTTTTAAAAAATTTCCCCATTTGAAGGCATGTGTTTTCTGTCTCCATATTAGAGTAGCCAAATTCAGTTCATTGTTTCATGAAACAAAGCAATACAAGGAAAGTGGTGTCTGACATCAGTAGTCTTCCTCTATGGGGAAGTGGTAAGTTTTTCTAAGAGAGCAATGTTATGCATTAAACTGAAAGACATTCAGTGATTTTTGTAACCTAAATACAATAGCAAAATAAATTGTATTAACTTTTTGTTCAAAATATTTATTTCAGCATTTTACATAGTTGGGAAAATAAGTACTGGGGGGGGGAAATAAATTTTTGAGTATTATATTCTTTCAATTTTATTTCTCTTGAATGAAAAAGAATCTTTATTCAATCAATGACTATAAAGCACCTTACATACTTAAAACTGATATTGATTAGCCAATTAGATAAACAAATCAAACTGCTACACATCTTATATGTTACTTGACAAAATTAGGGCATTCTTAAAGAAATAAAATAATTTCAATCTGGAAATATAAGTTTAAATAAAATGATCAGAATGATCAGGATATTTAATTAGGTGTTGGTTTAATAGCTCATCATGATTGTCAACAAAATGCAAAATATAATAAAATATTTAGTGTTTTACTATATAAAACTTTGGCTTCTTTGATACATAGCTATAATTGGACATATTTATACTATGGAGGTGACAAGAAAAACTATATCGTAATTGTAAATTGTATTGTTAAAACTGCAGACTAGATATGCAATCCTAAACTCTATATTAATAAGAAATAGAAAAACTAAGGATGTTATCTTGCTTGTAAACTTCTAGCAGGATCTATTCAGCCAGAATTTAAAACAAATTTCTGGGTCAAATAGAACTTTGTTCTTACCTAGTATGCAGAACCATTACCCAGCCCCACTAATATTAGAAACCTCTGCTCTAGTTGGTGGGGAAGAGTTTCCAAAAAAAATTAATTTTAAACATATTATTTTTTAGATGGGAAGATAATCTATATGGAAGGAATTCCAGTTCTTGCTCATTGACATTTTCACCGTTAAAATTTATATTTTATTGGAAGGATTGTGTTGGTTTATCTTTTGCAAGCCAGTTAGAAATCTAAAAGGCTGCTCCAAAACAGCTTAAGTAATGAATGAATTGCAAGGAAAAGAAAGATTTTTTAAACATCATGTAGTTTGACAAAACAAAGTACAAGCAGAAGAACAAGCCAAGCAGGGAGGGAAAAGTCTGAAATGCTAGGAAAAGAAAACAGATTGGATTACTTTCATCTATTTTAAAAGTATAAACAAACTAGAAATATTTTGATGTGAGGAGGACAAAATGGCATCACTACCTCCTTACTCATGTATCCCTGAGGAAGTGAACAATAAAAGGAGAAAAGAGCAGTCTTTGAAGCAATTAGAGATGTCTTCTATAGTATTTCCTTACAATCCTCCCCTCCATCTCCACAACTCCATTCAACCCCTGCTTCCTGAGAGAATCGTCTCAGCCTATATTGTCTACCTATAGACATTACAACAATGTTGGAAACGGTTTGAACCTTGCCCTGAAAACGTCTCAGAACTATTTGCATCATCCTTGGCAGTATTTTGCAGAGACCATCCTATGTATCTGCAAACAAACATGTTTTCTTGATTAAGAGGCAAGAGAATAAAGCAACCCCAGCAGAAGATAAAATGAGAGCATTCTGAGATATGAGAAAGGGGGGGGGAGGGAGGGAGGGAGAAGGGAGAGAGTCTGCAAAGAAGAAGAGAACACAAAATTAGTTTTGGAGCATTAGTTTTGGAGCATAATGTGGTATAGCATATTTCATGGAGCAATAACACAGCTGGTTACAGATTAATTGCAATTGCAATTATATTATACCAATTCAATTATAATGCTCTTTCACACTTACCAATTACAAGGGTTGACATGAGCAGACATTACCAAGCTGTGGTTTAGAAGCTGCCCTCAACCTGATCCTTTACAAATGTGTAGTCATCCTGTACTATAGCATGGTTTAAGGCTGAAAGTTAACTTATCACACTATACAATTTCAGTAGCTTGCAACTGAAAGTTAGAACAAATTACCAGTGGAAGTGGTAGAAGAACATTAGATTATCTTGTCAAGGATGAGAATAATAATGATGCAAAAATAAATATGTGTATCATTTATTTGGATAGCAGAATTCTGTCATAAAACAACTCTATCCTTCCTCCTCAAATTAAGTATGCACAGGCTTGTGTAAAGTCAAGCTTGACAAACTTTTTTCTTTCTTTCAGAGGGATATACATAGCCCACTTTGGAACACTAAAGATGGAGTCACCAGGCAGAGAGGAGGAAACATATGTGCTGGTGGAATATGCCTTTGAATATACCTCCAAGGATGGTCAACTCATCACAATCAAACCCAATGAGAGATACATGCTTTTAAGGCGAACCAACGACCACTGGTGGCATATTAGGAAGAGCAAAAACTCCAGGCCTTTTTACATCCCAGCTAAGTATGTTAGAGAGTTGAGCACTTTCATGCCTTCTGAGAGGCCATGTCACACAACACAGCTGGAGGCTATCAATTTAGGGACCTCTATTAGAGTTAGCAGTGATCAATTGCCAGAGTATGAATATCGATTTGTGACAGCTGTTCAAGAATCCAAAACAGATACCTCACAGCAGGATTCCCGCTCCCTAGGGATGGGAACAGTGATGTCTCGGGAAGATAATGGGAAGAATCTAGCCACTTCTGGAGCAGCAAAAGGCACACAGCCCTCTCTCAGTGCCTCATGCAGTTCTCTTAAGCCACTTTACCTGACAGACTCTAATCATCCTCTGGCCTGTCAAGGTGGTTCTGCTGAGCACATGAGGCCTGCTGTATCTCTGAATGACTTGCCAAGGTTCACACCTCCCACCCAGGCAGGTGTGGGGAACTCAGGATTATACAAAGCTGCTTCGTGGGCTCACCCTCACCCATTTCTGAAGAACAGTTCTGTAAACATCTGTAAATTGGTGAAGGACCAAGTGATACAAGATATGCAGGAATGCTGTGCCAAAGAGGTACTCTGATAATTTCTTATCAAAGATCTGTGTTTCTTATGTCCCAAATGTGTTAGCCTATATATTCCCTTATTCCATTTTAATGGAATATTAATACAGGGGCTATGGGAATTATAATCCAATAGATTCTGGAAGATATTAGTGTGGGGAAGGCTTTTATGTCTTCCTCCAGAACTCACTGGACTGCAATTTCCATAATTCCTGACACTGTGGAGTTATGGAAATTTTAGATTAATTAGATCTGACCATGTCACATTGAAGAAGGCCAAATGAGAGACTAGAAATAAACCCATACTGGATTAGTGTTAGCCATGCTGAGAACAAGTCATTTGTCATTTCTAGTCTTGTCTCTGGCCTATTATTTAGCCTCACCGCCTGCAGGTCTCCTCAGAGTTCACTGTTTTGCTGTTGGTAGGATCCCTGCTAAGGAATTATTGAAATCCCCAGTTTTCCTTATTTGTATAGGATGGCACTCTCCTCAGAATCACTTCTTCCTTGCTAAAAGACATTCTCATCTCACTTCAGTTCCAGATAAGTTTTCCAAACTTCATTACAGTATTTCTCTGCAATTGATGTTCCCAATTTGCTACAAAACCTTAGCATACTTTGTCTCAGATTCTGCCATTTCTGACTGGAGATCTTAAGGTAGAATACTCCCAAGTTAAAACTCCTAGTGCCAGCTCTGAGAAATATCATATTAAGGAGAACTCTTACGACAAGCTTTCAATTATGTGTTTACACACAAAGATTCTGATATAATCTCGTTCACTTATTCTCCAAAGTATTACAATATTGTCTGAAAAAAGTAACTGGGTATGATTACTTACATCTATTCCTCAACCATAAATGATAGTTCAACTTTGTTCTCATACACACAAGCTGGCTTCACACAGTATATTAAGCTAAAGTGAGGTAGGCTAGCTTGTGGCTCAGAATGTTGCACAAAGACAAGCAATTTTGTTCATTCAATAACTCATAACATGTATTCCACATCTTGGGCAAAATACAGCTTTTGTCTAGTGTACAGTACATGAAAAGGAGAATGTAATGGATTCTTAGAATGAGAAAACGAGTGTCCAAGATCACAAACAAAACTCTAGTTCGTATATGGATGTGTGATATAAGAACACATATATATACTGAATAACAAACTAGGCGGCCACATTTCATTCTAATGAATCCATCGAAATAATACATGAAGGACAAGTTTAGTAGTTTTGGAGATAATCCTAGTACAGTAGTACAGACAAATAGGTGTGCTCCTTTCAAGCTAAAATACAACTTGTCAGACAGAAGAAACAAAGACTTTCCCACATAAACTTATTGTGTTGGGACAAATACTGAAAGAATCTCAAGTATCTATTTATTTAATCAAGAAGCTGGTTCTCATAGTTAATAGTCTCAGGAGCATGATTCGAATAACTTTCAATTCCCATTTTGTATGCAGTGATAAGCAAATAAAGAATAAATGGGAGAGAGATCTTAGTTCTGCAGAGTGTAAGAGAGAAGTGAGCAGAGCAGCTGAGGTTCATATAATACATGATGACTTCAAATGAAACTCCTGCCAGCTTTAGTTTCATTGCTTTGCTTCCAGCCTCAGCATCTTGATTTATAATTCAGCCTGGCCTACAGATACCTTAAGCAGTATTGCGTTGTGGGCTTCAGAAGGCAAGAAACAGACCATAATAGATATAATACCATTTATTGACTGAAAACTGAAACTGAGGAACAGCAGGCAAATGCCTGTAATTTACACTCTAGGCCCACAGGGCCTTAGACAATCATAGTACCTGAAAAAGCCCACCCAAATATGAATGTATCACGTTTCCCCCAAAAACAGTTGGAGTCAACAGCTAGGGTCATCCAAAAGTTAGTTCACTTTAGCAGGGCTCAACACAACCACATATATTCAATACATAACACCCCCCCCACACGATAGGTCTTACCCTCAGTCCATTTAAACATTCATAGTCTTTGAGATAGGCTGGGCCCATGGATCCTGGTGGACCGCCACAATGCCACTAGAGAGCCCTGTCCAAGTGGGGCATTGTCCATCACCAATTGGACAGAGTCTTGATGGCTGCCTTGGTCACCCATGAGTGGCAGCAGCTCTACTGCCCTTGGTACCTCTGTTTCTCCAGAAGCGGCCAAAGGTGGTGTAGGCAAACCTGGCAGAAAAGAGTTCCCTAGTGGGTCTGATAACACTTCAGGATCCTCACCTGGGACTGGCCTGGCCTGCCAATGCCGCAACTGATCAATGTGGTGTCTGACTGTACAATCATTCCTCAGAATAACCTCGAATGACAAGGGGCCCGGTACCTTAGTTATCCTAGCTGTCATCCAGGGTGCCCCACTCCCATAGTTCCTGGCCCAGACCAATTCACCTGGCTGTAAGTTCCTGGAGGGGTTTGGCTGAGCCGTCTCCGCCACTACTCTGTTTGGGTGAAGTCAGTCGAGCTTTGTCGTGAGCCGGTGGCCCCACTTCAGCTCTGCTGGGCTGTGACCTGTTGCTGTACAGGGAGTTGTGTGTTGACACAGGAGGAAGTTCACCAGGTGGTGATTCCAGTCCTCAGTCGTCATACGCTTGAGCACCTCCTTTGTGTCCTGACCATTCGTTCCACATGACCATTGGTTGCGGGGTGGAATAGAGTGGATGTCTTGTGCTGAATCATGTTGGTGTTGAGGAAAGATTGAAACTCTTCTGCCGTGAATTGTACCCCATTGTCAGACATGATCACATCAAGCAGACCATGTGTGGCGAACAGCCGGCGCAACTTCAGATGACTCTGGTCATTGTCATTGATGAAACTGGTGCCACTTCCAACCACTTTGAATAACTGTCCACTACTATCAGGAACACCTTGATAGCTTCCTTGTCTATCTCAACATAGTTCCTTTCAGCCAGTAATAATGTTCTAGATACTATGCAATGGGGGCATCTCTACCATCTGGCATCCTATGGCTTAGTACTGCCCCAAAGCTGTATGGTGAAGCATCACAGGCTAGTATTATTGTTAGGGTTTCATTGAAATGAGCTAGGACGAAGTCCGAGGATAGCAATGATTTTACCACCTTGAACACGTTGTCTTGAGTGCTCGACCAGACCCAGGGTGCTTTTTTGTCCAGTAGTCGGTGTAGTGGTTCTGCCAGGGCAGCCTTATGTGGTAAGAAGAAGTGGTAAAAACTGAGCAAGCCCAGGAATGCTTGGAGCTCCCCCTTGGATTCTGGTGTGGCGGCTTGCTAAATTACCTTTAGCTTTCCTTCAGATTGGTGGATTCCGGCAGTGTTGATTTTAATTTAATTTAATTTAATTTCCAATTTATATACCGCCCTTCTCCCTGAGGACTCAGGGCGGTGTACAGCCAAGATAAAAAACATAGAATACAAATATTAAAACATTTAAAAATATATATAAATTTTGGCCCAAAAGTTAAGAATCACAAACTAATTAAAAGAATTTAAAAATTTCTTCTAAGCCAACCCGGCTTGCTGAAAAAGATAGGTTTTCAGGGAACGACGGAAGGCATTGAGGTCATGGATTCTTCTTATCTCCGGGGGCAACTGATTCCAGAGGGTGGGAGCCCCCACAGAGAAGGCCCTTCCCCTGGGGGCCACCAGCCTACATTGTTTGGCTGATGGCACCCTGAGGAGGCCCTCTCTCTGGGAGCGCACGGGTCGATGGGAGGTCGTCGGTAGCAGTAGGCGGTCTCGGAGATAGCTAGGCCCTATGCCATGGAGCGCTTTAAAGGTGATAACCAACACCTTGAAGCGCACCCGGAAGACCACCGGGAGCCAGTGCAGCTCGCGCAGGAGCGGTGTTACATGGGAGCGCCATGTTGCTCCCATCACTACCCGCGCTGCTGCATTCTGGACCAGCTGGAGCCTCCGGGTGCTCTTCAAGGGGAGCCCCATGTAGAGAGCGTTGCAGTAGTCAAGGCTAGAGGTGACGAGGGCGTGAGTGACTGTGCACAAGGAATCCCGATCAAGAAAGGGCCGCAATTGGCGAATCAGGCGAACCTGATAAAAGGTCCCCCTGGTAACAGCCGTCAGATGTTCCTCCAAAGACAGCTGCCTATCCAGGAGGACTCCCAGATTGCGAGCCCTTTCAGTGGGAGCCAAAGACTCGCCCCCAATAGTCAGCGATGGAGTCAACTGACTATATCGGGATGCCGGGAGCCACAGCCACTCAGTCTTGGAAAGGTTGAGCCTGAGCCTGTTCCTCCCCATCCAGATCCGCACAGCCTCCAGGCACTGGGACATCACTTCAAGGGCATCGTTGGGGTGGCCTGGGGTGGAGATGTACAGCTGGGTGTCATCAGCGTACTGGTGGTATCTCACCCCAAAGCCACAGATGATCTCGCCCAGCAGCTTCACATAAATGTTGAACAGAAGGGGCGAGAGGACCGATCCCTGTGGCACTCCACAGATGAGAGGCCTCGAGGTCGACCTCTGCCCCCCTGCCAACACAAACTGCGACCGGTCGGAGAGAAAGGAGGAGAACCACCGCAACACAGTGCCTCCCACCCCCAACTCTTCCAGCCGGTGCAGCATAATACCATGGTCAATGGTATCAAAAGCCGCTGAGAGATCTAATAGGACCAGAACAGAGGAATAACCCCTGTCCCGAGCCCTCCAGAGATCATCCACCAACGCGACCAATGCCGTTTCCGTGCTGTGCCCAGACCTGAAACCCGACTGGAACGGATCTAGATAGGATGTTTCCTCCAGGAATTGCGGAAACTGTTGCGCGACCACACTCTCAACAACCTTCGCAATGAAGCGAAGGTTGGAAACAGGACGATAGTTGGCCAATATTGCTGGATCCAGGGACGGCTTCTTGAGGAGAGGCCTCACCACCGCCTCTTTCAGGGCAGCGGGGAAGTGACCCTCACTCAACGAAGCATTAATGACGCCCTGGAGCCAGCCTCGTGTAACCTCCCGGGAAGCCAGTACCAACCAGGAGGGACACGGGTCCAGTAAACATGTGGCCGCACTAAGTC